CCAAGTTGATCCAGCTAAGATTGAGGCCATTAAGAAATAGGAAGCCTCGAAGACAACAACCGAGATCCGCCAATTTCTTGGATTGGCAGGTTATTACCGGCGATTTATTGAGAATTTAAAAAAAAATCTTAAAAACAACTTAACATGCATTTGATACAACATTTTAATGCATAAAGTCTTTAAGTCTCAAAAACCAAACTATAATGCATTTAATACTACTCTAAAGCACACATCGTTAATTAACCGGGTCTCTCTCTCTCTCACTTCAAAACCGACGCTCCACTCTCCCTAGGGGTGGCAATGGGTCAGGTTGGGTTGGGTTCGGGTTCAACCCATTTATTAAACAGGTTGAAAACCTCGACCCAACCCAATCCATTTAATTAAATGGGTTGAGATTTTTCAACCCAACCCAACCTGTTGGGTTAATGGGTTGACAGCGGGTTGACCTGTTTACGATTTTCTTAACCGATCCTGTTAAATAAATGGGTTGAACCTGGGTAGACCCATTTAATTTTAAAATTTTAAATTAAAAAAAGAACTAGACTATTTAACTTTTTTGAATAAAACATAACATAACCACAAATACAACCAAATTGTTCAAAGTCTTAATAAAACACAATCTCAACAAATATATTGTTCAAAATAAGTTGAAATTTTTAAAATTCTAAGTAACTCGACTTCCACTTTCATCAACCCTAATTTCAATCTCGGTATTACTTTCTTCTTGATCTTCTATCTTCTCTGTCATGATTGCTCCACATAGCGCCTCAAGATGCGCTTCCATTTGTACTACGTAAATAAATTAAATTATTAACTTAGTTATAGCCTTATAGCAAATATATGGTTTTATACGATAAGAGGAAATATACAAATAATAAATTAGAACAAACCTTCTCCATATACCCAATCTCTTAGACAAATAATAGCCTCAACTGTAGAAGACTTCAATGAACTTCTATAAGCATCAAGGACCCTACCGCTGATGCTAAAAGCAGATTCAGATGCCACTGTTGAGATAGGGATAGCTAAGATGTCCCTAGCTATCCGAGCAAGAGTTGGATACCTAACCTCATGAGTTCTCCAATAGTCCAAAATGTTTAGATTGTTCACACGAGGCATGAGCTTCTCCTCTAAATAACATTCAAGTTCAGATTTTACGGCTTGAGAAGTCACCTTATTTGAAAAGGTATCGAAGTCCTGTTAAATAACAAAAAGATATTAGATAAATAGCATAAATCAGAAAAAGTGTAAAAGAAAAAAAATAGTAAATGTATATACCATCATAAGTGAAGCAGAAACCACATCTAGCACATCTTGAGATCCTTCTTGGGAGTCCAACGATCCACTCTTAGGTTGACCAACTTTGGTTTTATTCAAATGTGACTCATCCACATACTCATTAAATAATGAAAACAATTTCTTTTTTATTATTGCCAACTCAGATTTGTACTCGTGCCCATAAACTTTCTCATAACCCCATTTAACAATCTGAAATTTATAACGAGGATCCAAAACAGCCGCAAATGCCATAACTGTGCTAAAATTAGGCCAATATTTCTCAAACTTCTCATACATCCGACTAGCCATGTTTTTCATGAAAGTATCATCACTATCTTTTTCTTTGTGTAACAACATTCTAACCGTCAAAACATTAGCAAAATAAAGATTGGTAGTAGTATATTTAGAGCCAGAAAATGCACAAGTTAACTCGTAGAAAACCTTCAAGAACTTGAAAGTCCTTTCAATTCTTCCCCACTCATCACTTGTTGGACAATTCAAATAATTAGCATCAGTTTTCGCCAAATGAATAAAAGCTTTTTTATAGTACAAAACTGAATCCAACATAATGTAAGTCGAGTTCCATCGAGTAGGAACATCTTGTCTTAAACCCCTTGAAGATTGTAGCTCTACATGTGCAACACTACTTAAAAACCTTTGCCTCCTAGATTGTGAACCTTTATAGTACTTCACATTATTTCTAACCTTTATAATAGCATCATCAACCTCTTTCAATCCATCCTGTACAATTAGGTTCATAATGTGTGCGCAACACCTAACATGAAAATACTCACCTTCACAAACCAAATCAATTTCAGTCTTAAAAAAAATCAACCATTGCATCATTAGAAGAAGCGTTATATAGAGTAATTGAAAACACTTTCTTTTGAATCCCCCAATCCTTCAAAAGACTAAACACATGATCACTCAAAGCAAGACCAGTGTGTGGTGGAGCCAAAAAACTAAAATTTAGAATCATTTTTTGCAAGTTCCAAGAATTGTCAATGAAATGGGCAGTCAAGGACATATAACCATCAGTGGTTATGGATGTCCAACAATCAGAGGTCAAACAAATCCTACYAGGAGCACAAATTAAAGCATCTTTAATTTTCAACTTTTCCATCCTATACATCTTCAAAATATCAGCCTTTATGGTATTCCTTGAAACAACTTTCACTTCAGAATTTAAATAAGTGAAACACTTCCTAATTCCCTCATATTCTGCAAATTGAAATRGCAATTCATGTTTCACAACAGCACTAGCTAATAGCTCACGAAAAGTATTAGGGTTAAAATCAGGGAGCCTACTATTTAATGAACCACCAYTACCACCATAATCCAACACCATCTGCCCAATATCCTTAAATCGACTTTTTTTGCAATTTCTAATATGGCGTTTCAAATTCCCGGTACCCATTCTAGTTTCARCATTATAAACCTGACCAYACTGTTTACATTTACAATATAACTCACCATTTTCATCAGGATCCATAAAATCAAAGCTATTCCATACCTCAGATGTAAGTTTTCTTTGACGTTTGAATTCCACACCAGATTTGTTTGGTTTTAATTGGTTAATCGGTTTCTTCTCGTTGTTCTTTGACGGAGGTGGAGGACTTTGTASATCATCTCCTTCYGAAATCTCAACCATATTACTAGTATTAATCACTGAAATAAAACACAAAAGTATTAATCAATAATCATTGAAATAGTAGAGTCAACGTGAAAATGTCAGAAACCATGAGCAGTAAATTACACTGCTCAAAATACAGCAGCCAAGCAAAGTGTKTGCTTTTCTATCTCTRTTTCAATGATGTTGAAAAGGTTTAGAAGGCAACAATTCTCATATTTGTAGCCTAGGAAGTAGTGGTGCTTCTACACACATTTACATAACAAACATGTATACATGGGATATAATTTTTGAGTTGTGTTTCGTCATTCAAATAAAACTGCTCAAATAAGAAAYAGATATAGGAAGAGTGTGCTTCATGCTCCAAAATAAAATTAACTGGATATAAACATGCAAGACATGAGAGATAATTTTTGGGACAAAAGAGATGATAGAATTTAGAAAATAAGAAAACCCACTTACTTGATCAAGCCCTCAACCTCGAAATTGACAATCGATAACGAAGGTAGAAGATTGATAATGGATAACAAAGAATTGAAGATTGAAGATTGAAGATTTAAGCAACGATAATGAAGTAGAAGATAGATGATACTGATACTCATGAAGAGTGTTCTGGAAATTTGGGGAAATATTTAAAAGAATTGAAAACGGGTTGAAAATGAAGAGTGTTCTGGAAACTTGGGGAAATATTTAAAAAGAATTGAAAATGGGTTGAAAATGAAGAGTCTTTTGGAAACTTGGGGAAATATTTAAAAAAGAAATAAAATAAAAATAAAATAGATATAATATCAAGAATAAAATAAATTTATATAATATTTTAATTGGGTTGAAAACGGGTTGAAAACGGGTTGAAAACAGGTTGAAAACGGGATGAAAACAGGTCAAAAAATTCAACCCAACCTAACCCATTTATTTAAATGGGTTAGACGGGTTGACCAATTTATTTAAATGGGTTGAAAATCCCAACCCAACCTATTAATTCTGGGTTAGGTTAATGGGTTGGGTATTTTTTGCCACCCCTAACTCTCCCCTCATCATTCCTTTCCAAACCTCGCTCCACCCTCGTTTTCCTTTCCAACGCTTTCCTGCCCTTCAAAGAACCGATTACAGAGATGACGATTCAGTCCCAAGGCAACGATTCAGGCGATTGCGAGTGTTTATAAATGATCGTCGCTCATATAACAATGACGCAATAAACTATTCAGGCGATTGCGAGTCTGCTTTTAAACCTTGAGGGCACGATCCTGTGGCGATTGCGAGTTGTGCTTTCAAAGGTGAGTTAATTTAGGGTTTAGGGCTTCATTTTGAGTTACACATTTCATTTTTGAGTTACACATTTTCTTTGGAATTATCTCCTGTTGCGAGTTCTGCTTTTAAACCTTGAGGGCACGATTCTGTGGCGATTGCGAGTGCTGCTTTCAAAGGTGAGTTAATTTAGGGTTTAGGGTTTTATTTTTTAGTTGCACATTTCATTTAGGTGATTGCGAGTTCTGCTTTCAAAGCTTCGTTAGGTGATTGCCTTCTCCGTGGTGTTTGTAACGTAAACTCGTTTGATCGATTGATGATCAGGTTTTAGAATGAATTAAGGCTGAAATAACTCAGATTTAACTTAAAAAGAAAGAAACTGTCAGTGAATTTCAATTGAATTTTACTACACTTTTTAAAGTTATCACTATGAGCATAGCCTACGTTTATAAGAATTTAAAATTTAACACATTTTAACATGGAAAACCAAATTTACACATCGAGTCTTTGACATTCAACAGTTGTAGGTTATTGGGAATTCGGCTGCACGTTTATGTAGCAATTCTCACTATACATTGCCTTAGGTATGAGTGTTTGTTGCTATGTTGAGAAAATGATGAATTAGCCTAAGATCTTTATCATTATTATTGTAATGCCCTGGATTCTTGAATGACATAAGGCTTCCACACTGGAAAGGATATATGGTGCCATAAGTTACATCACTACCGAATTATTTTAGAACTCATTAGTGTAGTGCGCAACCTGCAAGAGAACTAAGAAAGATGCTATCTTTTGGCAAATAAGAATTGATCTTATCCTTAACAGCTGATACACCTTTCATTCTATCCTGATTTGGCTTCTAAGTGTCAGCAGGACTATTTTTTCAGTTGAATGATAAGATTGGCTCAGTAAACTGTTAATCACTATTCAAAACAAGGGGCACTTTGATAGGAAAAAGGTGGTGTTAAAATTGTAAATCAGGAACCCGATTGTTGAACAAAGGGGGTATGACTGCCAAAACTTTGGGAGGTGTAGAAATTAGAACCTTGAAACCTTCCTCTTTCAGGATTCTACATGCATAACTATAGGGACAAAATGTCATCCTGTGATTCTGTTACGGTAGTTAATTCTATTATGCTATGGAAAATGGAATTTAGGAACATCTGTTGGAAGCTACTTATGTGAGACTCTTCTCGACCTTAGTGATGAGTGCTTTGTGACAACCATGACTTCACTCCTGGTGATCATCATGGTAACCATGGAAATAACTTTTTAAGTACATAAACACCACGAGTGGTACTTGATGATTGATTACTTTTTCACATGAAAAATGAAGTTTATCTGAAGGAGCTGACTGAACCATGCAAACTCTAGATGTAAAAAAACCATGCTCCCAAAGTTTTACCATGTGAATTTCTTCACCCAGATGTTCATATCAGAAGCCATTTTGGATCCAGTTGGCAGAGCCTAAAGAGAGAGAGGGCGTGAGAAAATATAGAAATTGCCATTTGTGTTTTGAGTCAAATGGCTTGATACTTGAGTGCCAGGAGCAGCAGATGAAAACAGGACTAAAAAACCTGATTTTTGTAGCAACTGTTGCTCCATGTATGCTGGATTGCTCTTTGAAACTATGATTTCTCAAATTCTGCACGAGAAGATGTAGAGCACCATAGTCAAGGTAATAATAGATGACATGTAAGAGATCTGAAGTGCCTTCCATCAATTTGTACAGTTCAAAATCTGTTGAAATACTTAAATTTATTGTTAAATTGACTACAACATTCGGAAACTAAATAAAATAATTTCATTCGTGAAATTTAGTTCATGTTCAATATTAAATTTTTTTTACCCTCAAATTCATCTTCATTTGATCAAACATTATTGGATTTGACAAACATTTCATTAGTGAAATCGGTTTTATGAATGAATTTTTTTGCAAAATAAATAATACGATTTTATTAGTGAAATTGGTTTTATCAATAAAAACATTTTGAAAATTGTATCTTATTTTTTCGTTAGTGAAATTTGTTTCAGCAGTGAAAATTGTTGAAATGTTTCTTAACCAAAATGGAATCGGTTTCATGGTTTCTAACCAAGTTGAACTCGGTTTTATATATGAAACTAAATATATTTCAGTCAATAAAACACTTCAAAAACCGAATAATAATATTTCATTTATTTTTAAATTTGTTTCATGTTTTCTAACCAAAATGGAATTGGCTTCATGGTTTATAGCCAATATGAAATTGGTTTTATTAATGAAACCAAATATGGTTCAGTCAATAAAACATTTCAAGACCTGAATATTATTATTTCATTAATGAAAATAGTTTCATGGTTCATAATCAAAATGAAATTAGTTTCACTTTTGAAACATTTTGAAAACTGTATAACACTGTTTCATTAATGACATTTATTTTACGAATGAAAACAAAACAATATACCCAAAATTTGAAAAATATCATAACTATATTATTAATAAATCAATAACTACTTGTGGCTTAAAAAATGCTGATTCTTTTGTTATTATGACAATGAAATAAATAATTTAATAAGAAATAAATAATATCATAAGAAATAAATGATTACAAATAGACTTTGTAATTGATGTAATATTTTTAATTTAATAAAAGAATATAAAATATTAATGGTAATAATTATATATTAAAATCAATTGATCTATAGTTTCCTTAAAAACAGTTATTCTATTTAATCTTTCATATTTAAAAACAATTAAAACAATACCAAAATTATCTATTACAAAATAAAATGACATTCATACCTTTATTTGTTAAAAATAAAGAGAAAAACATGGAATTAATATATTGGTTGATGGTGGTTTCTATTGTTTGCATGAAATAGGAGGTTTGCAAAATAACCCCATATATCTCTCTCTCTCTCTCTCTCTATATATATATATATATATATACTATATTATAAAGCATTTAACAAAAACTCTCAAAAACTATTTTTTATTTATGAAGTACTGTATATGGATGCATATTACTTAAAATTTCAGATTACAAGTAAATTATACACAAGTACAACTTATTAAAGTTTCATGTTTGAATTCGTGTAACTAACTGTGGATAAACATAATCAAATA